ACTATGTCGCTATTTACTTCTCACTTGGCACGTGAAAATTGTGTGCTTTTAACTCTGAAAAATCCCGGTTTCTTTAGATGAGCTTGTTCATGTAAAAAAGTTGATATCGTCGCCGACGTGACTAGGAACTTCGTCACTGCAGGTACTAGAAAGTGCAATGTGAAATGCACTTAAAGACTCCTTTTCTCAGTGTAAATAGAGTTTTTATAAAGTTAATGGTTAAATGAAAAGTGTTAAGTGTTGCTATTAGAAACGTGTATCTCATCTTAACGTTATTTGATTTTTTAATTTATAGCTGCATTTTTTTTAAGCACATGTTATGGAGCTGAAGTAAAACTATTAAATATGAATGCTACAAAACATATAAACAATATGTTATTTTGCAATTGTTTAAAAATTTAATATTTAAGAGGAAATAATTTTTTGTATTAATTTTTATAAATAATAATTTAATATTAATATTCATAATTTAAAAAATAAAAATAATAATATTACTCCATGTGGAAATTCGCTAGTATATAGTAAGCCATGCAAAGAAACTGTGCAATGCTTCTAAAACTCACTGTAGAAGTTATGGAATCTTACAGAAAAAAGAAACAATAAAGCTTTTTCTCTATAGCCCGATTCCAGAAGAAACGGATTTTTCATCGTTAGGGACGAAAAATTTGTTAAATAGCCTGAATTCACCGGGATGGATTAAGGTTTAGTTTCCTTTTTATCCGCTAAGATTTCCTGCAAGAACAGTGGTGGTAAAATGCCAAAAAATCGTTTATTAGGAACATCAGAAGGATATCTGCCGACTTGCAACTAAAGAACCATAACACATAGAATGATGTAATACAACTTTTATCTCTGCAGTTTATATAATCAAATCAGTTTAACCAAAACAACCATGATTCTTATATAAATGATAGATATTTGGATAGAAAAAATAAAAAATTTTTAATAAAACAACATGTTAGTATTATAATATTACAATTTCTTTTTTTCATCAATGGAGAAGCCCATCAATAGCCCAAGTATGAGATTATAATTTCATTTCAGAACACAAAGAAAACAATGAATTAGATGAACAAAAGGCTTAACATTTACGAAGTAAATATTTCTAAGCCATAAAAAAAAATTGTGTACGGATTTAGAGGTGGATAATTCTAAATGAAGTTAGAACAACTAGGTTAAATAGATTATTTAGGAGTATACTCTATATAGACGGTTTCTGTAACCACAATTATACAACGGGATTACAGAAGAGCAGTGTGCAAGTTGTCCAAATGGAGAGCTAGAAATTGGGGAGGCTAATTATAGAGAGTAGTAGATCAGTGGGCAGGTGATCAGTGTCTAGTTTAGATTAGTGGGCACGGAATCAGTGTCTAGTCTAATACTAGACATAAACAGGCATTTTCTTTAATTCAACTTTATAGTCTACGTTACTTTATTATAAAAATATAAACAGACGCAATATACCTTATTTTCATATATCTAAATGACATGCTGCATATTATCCTTTTTTATTTAATAAAAAATATTATTAACCTAATGTATTGTATTAAACAAAAAGAAACTTATACTTTATTAGAGTTTGAAATTTCAAGCTAAAAATAAACATTTGACAATTTATTTGTGTCATAAGTAGTTATCATCCTCAAATTTTATTGCATTCTTCCTAAATACACAATATTTTGACTTTATCCTTCACTGCTCCCTATTTTTCTCAAAGCTAATTTCGGATCCACACCAGAAATTACTTATACATTTGTGGATATAACAGAATAACTTATTTTTTTGGAGAAATATTCTTTATAAATTGTTCGTTACTAGGAAAACCCTTTTCTACTTTATGAAAACGTGATGAACACATTTTTAGATATATTTATATTATTATTGTTATTATTGTTTTTGTGCTTCACATTTAACTTGGGAAGTTTTCATTTTGTATGAATTCATTTGGCCTCATCATGTTGTTATTACGATACATATTCGGCATATATTTTTTAAGTCTATGTTAACCCTATTCTGCTTGTTTGGTTTATTAAATTCATGTTTCCCCCGCCCACTACACAACTTGTAGAAACAAATAGCATTACAATGAAAAAACTTTTTAACCTTATGGCAAAGTGTAAACGTTTTAAAGCCCCAGAGAGGAGCGCTACTGAAAGAAATTTATACGTAGATTGCATATTGTTAAGTTTGTTTTTCCAAATTTTCCGAATGAAATTACCAAAAATGGAAAAACACACTTTTGTTTCATTTTCTGTTATGTTTTGTGTAAAAATAATTTGAATATTGTTGGTTTTTTCTTATTTTTGTCTTAGTACTTTACGTAGTTTTCTCTGTTAAATTTAAAGCTTTAATATGTAACAGGATATCATTTCACACAATCGCATAAGAATTCTGCATTTACAAAAATAATTCAATAAAAATCAATAGTAAAACTTGGTGTTACTTTATTTTGCCGCAATGTTTGGTAACATTTCCGAGTTCCACGCGCCCTACATCTCCTCGAGATGTGGAAAAATTTTGCCAGAAGTAAGTTTTGTTTTCTATTTGTTAGGTTTTTTGGTGAAAGCAGACACTTGGGATTTTATTTCATGCTATTTTGCATAATTTTTATGATATTCAAAACGATAACGATTGGCAATAAAATGTTATTCAAAATATGGTAAAATACTCTTTATAGACGTGAATACATGCGCTTCGCCTTATAATATTCCAAGCAATAATACTTATAGTTATACCTATACACATACGAAAGCTGATGATGATATCAGTTATGGCTCAGTTATCGAAAGGATGTTGTGATGGAAAAGTAAGTATTCTTGTCAATAATCGTTTTATTATTCATATTTCATATGGTTTTAAAGTGTTTTCCACAAATAGAGAATATTTGTTTTAATATTAATAGAAATACATTTAAATGGAAATACATACAGTTTTAATGCATTAACAACGGGAATGTATATATGAGTGTATATTCGTAGAAATATTGTATTTAATTTACTCAAAGCACATTAAGATATTAATACCTTCTGAGTAGTAGAAAATAGGCTTACAATTTCTAAATGTACTATTCAAAAATAAGTCATTTAAAAAAAAAAATTATAATATATAATATATTATTTCCTTATACTTTTTATGTTACTATATAAATATGAAATGGAAAAAATTATTACATTTTAATACATTTAAAGCAGCCAGGAAAGAAGCAACCACACCGATAATAAGTACGGTGTACGCTCCTTTCTCTCATAAAAATAACGAGAATAAAAAGGATTACTGGGATCATATACTAGAATTAACACAATTACTTATTGGTACCTACAACAATAAGCGATACCAGTATTGTATGAACCTATCAAAAGAAAAACTTAGAATCATTACAAGAATCTTAACAGAGCACTGTAAACTAAATTACCACCTTACAAGATTGGATATACTAACGGATGTAAACTGACTTGATTAACAATATTGCTTATATTAACGATTATCTTGCAGAGGAACAAAACAGCGAGGTATTCAGTCCTCTCTGCAGTATATGGTATACAAACAACTAGACGAACATATGCAGATAATGACGAAATATAGACCATAAAAGCTTGTATATACTATATGTTAATCGCTGCCAACCTAATCCAATTTTGTTTCTTAATTCGACTTAATTATTACTCGTCGTCTTATTTCATTCTTTTATTTAATTAAATAATTAATATTAAAATTATTTTTTGTCATACTGATAAAGTACGCATAGAGTAAAGATTTCATTTTTAACTACGAACCATTAAATATTTGTTTTAAATATTTAAATAAATAATTTAATTCGGTTAAAGTCATTTTCTGTACTTGAAATAATAAATAATTTATAACATTAATAATTTATTCGTATATGTAAGTAAAGAAATTAATTTTGTCTCTTTTTAAAGTTAAATTGTATGCAAGTGTTAATATGAAGTATATATAGCAATTTTCATAATTAATATCCTTTTTCACGGAACTCCACATAAGTGATTTCCTTATTGTAATATTGTACTAATAATGACTGATTCAAGTTTAGTGCTTATATAAATCATTTTAGTCAATTTTGTCGCTTAAGAATTTATAACTGTAGTTACAATGTGTAATAACAGTTACAACAGTTACAACTACCTAATATTAATGTCAGAAAGAATAAAAGGATTTTTATTGCAACAAACGTAAACAACTAAAACCACATAAGAAATAGTTTTACTCATGTTTGGCTCACTCCGCATATGCTGTGCAACATATGGCCAACATTTCTGTTTTACTGCTTTACGTCCTGATGTACGGATTGCTTGATTATTGACAACAACAGAACCATAGCCAAAGGACATAGCACACTTTGTGTGCTCTAAACCATGAAAGTCACAAATTATACGATCGCATTCCATGATAGCGGCAATTTGGTAAAGTGTGTTGCGCTGAGGTGAAGAGAAAGAAAAAATGAGAAATTCGGTTAGGGTATCTGAAGAGCAGTTATTAAGTGATGGCAAAACAACCCCCAACGAAAAGGACAAGACGCGTTACAGTTAACGTTTTTATGTTAACCTAAACGATCCTTTCGTGTCTGATATGTTAATGATGATCCTTAATTTATAAGTATAGGGATTCAAATTGTCTGCACATAAGTTTACACACATTTTTGTACCATGTTCTAGTACTTTTTGTGGCATTTTCTGTTTACTTCTTGGTTTGTGTTATTAGAAAAAAAAAATAATTTAAACAAAAAAAAAGTTTAAAGAATAATTTAGGATTCCCCTTTTACAAGAGGGATGATATATGATGTCTCGTGCAGTTCACGTGCCAGTTGGTCAACATTTGGTACTATTTAATTTAAAAATAAACAACAACAATAACAACGATTTTAATAAGCGAGATTCCGCCGACGACAATAGCACCAAAAAGCATTTCGGTTCACAGTTGCTCATAGCATTTCAGACCGTTCACAAGTAAAATAATATTAATAATAGTTGAAACAAAATAAAACTATGAGCTTAACGGGCAGAACTTTTTTTGAACTAAAGCACGAATATAATTATCAACCTCATACAGCATCAAACTCACTTACTGATTTCGCCTACACTTCAGAGGAAGATAGTTCACAGTATTTAGGTAGTCCTACTTATCAACTGTCCGTGGTTAGTGCTGACAGTGCCCAAGAGGTAATTAGTGCGGACTGCTTAATATTAGATAATTGGACGTTAAATTCATATCACTCGACAGCAGCAGCCTCGGCCTCAGATAACAGTCGACAGACTAATAATATTTATGATGATTTCATATATCAAATGCAACAGCGGCCATTAGACAGCAACAACAGCAGCGACATCAATTATCCAGCTCATAGCAATTCAACAACAACCAAAACTTTGCAAACTTCCTCTATAACACCGCAATGCACTCCCCCAACCAAGAGCAAATCCAATAAACGCACACGCAAAATCACAACCACAAAGTCAGATGCAAACATTATGAATCCACCTAGTCCAAGTGTAATCAAACGCCGCCGACAGGCCGCAAATGCACGTGAACGGAAACGCATGAATGGCCTAAACGAGGCGTTCGACCGCTTGCGTGAAGTCGTGCCAACGCCCGCCATAGATCAAAAATTGTCAAAATTCGAGACACTGCAAATGGCGCAAACCTATATTATGGCGCTATGTGATATGTTGGAAAATGGCGATGGTTCAACAAGCTGCACATTATTTCGCGATGGCAGCCTTGTCGGCGATATCAACAGTGATATGATGCTGAAGTTTTAGTACACAACAGTGATTTGCGCCTTCATTGTTTTACAATGTCAGAATAATAAAACGAGTAAAAGTGTGGAGAAAAAAATCACTAAACTACGTGACTTGTGCCAACTATGATGTCGAAAGTGGAATATTTAAATTCTGCTGCTCTAAAGTTCACAAAATCGTGGAAGCTGACGCGCACAATAAAACGTTCTAACTTTGGAAAAGTAGCTACGCAAATTACCTTAATTGTTGCACTTCACAATCTTCCACAATGAAGATTTCATCGTGGCACGCACTTATAGTCTGGGGCATGTTGTGCACAGCAAATTTTGACTACTTGTCAAAATAATAAAACAAATTTTATGACGACGTTAAAGTTGATGAATCCAAAAATAGAGAAAATAATACAAAAATAAATACATTGTTGATTACCGAGAGTGACTTTTCACACTAGAAGTGAACAATAAGTAATTTTTACTAAAACTATTAATATTCTCTAATATTTTCAAATATCGTAAATGAGTTGAAGTGTAAACTTGTGATTTTGTTAATAAGAATAATATATGACTTTAATGATTATTAGTACTTAAATTGTTCAGTATTAATCAAGAAATTATTTTCAGTTACATTTCAATTTTTTATTGTAAATAAAAATTTTTATTGAATTTGAAATATATTGTTTTCTTAATCATAAACCAGAACTAAAAAGAACCCTGCTCTTACCTATGTAAAGAAAAATATTCATGAAATTAACCTTGTCAAAGGAATCTAGAATCAACCATAATTTTCAATGGTTATCTGTAATATTGTACAATCTCTTCTACTTTTACTGATCATTTAACCTGATCATATACTGATCATTGAATTTAAAATATATTGTTTTCTTAATCATAAACCGGAACTAAAAATAAGTCTTCTCGTACCTATGTAAAGAAAAATATTCATGAAATTAACCTTGTCAAAGGAATCTAGAATCAAACATAATTTTTAATGGATACCTAAAATATTGTACAATCTCTTCTACTTTTACTGAGCATTTAACCTGATCATTTACTAATCATTGAATTTTAAATATATTGTTTTGTTAATCATAAACCAGAACTAAAAAGAAGCCCGCTCTAACCCATGTAAAGATTTTATTCATGAAATTAACCTTGTTAAAGAAATCTAGAATCAAGCATAATTTTTAATGGATACCTAAAATATTGTACAATCTCTTCTACTTTTACTGATCATCTAACCGTTCTTAATATATAATACAATATTTCTAGGTAGAAGCTTTAATTTTGTAAAAGGTTTAATTTTCGATTTATTGGATCCAACTGATTCATTTTTATTAAAAGTGATTAGATTACTGATAGATGGTATATATGAAGAATTGCATATTTTTCTCAATAAATGTTATATGTCCCAAATATAAATCCATTGCTTTAAGGGATTCGTTTACATTGAAGTATGTTAAAAATTGCATATTTCTGTATAAAATTTATGTTTTCCAATAAATATAAATGTTTTCTGATTCCTTTTTATTAAAAATGATAACATATATAATAGATCCACTACTTCAAACAAGTTTACTTTTCAACCTGAGATCTACAAAAATCTAAAGGATTTTTTTTCATTACAAGAGATGATATTAGTGGGCGTGTCTACCAAAACTTAAAAATTTTAGTTGTTCAAATCATTTTAAATATTTTATATGAAACAAGCAAGCTATATTTCATAAACTTTTGGTTTTAAATAAATGTTTCCAAACTTAACATTACTTCATAAGTTGCATGGCATGATCACTGAGAGAAATAAATTAACTTAGTAACTTTTTAAAAATACATAAATATTTTAAATTGTGAAAAGTAACTTTCCTTCCTTTCGGATATGAAGTCTATAAGCTTAAAAATATTTCGTGCACACACAAATAGAATAGTTTAGTTAAATGCTTAAGTACACATGAAAGCAATTGCTGGTATGAACTTCCTCATTAACCATTTCGCTTGCAGTCATATAAAGTTTTAAATATGCAGCTTCATTACCTTTTATTTGTACGATATTACACAGATAAATAAAGTGGAAAGAAAACTTTCCGACAAATTAAATTGTTTATGCACTTCCGCCCAATCGTTGTAGAACGCCACCCAGTTCATAATTAACGGCACAAAATCTCACGTTCTCCTTCCGCAGACAAGTGCACGTTTACACGCAAGCATATAAGCATCCTAAAAGTCTGGTTCACTTACTTACCATTACACCTGGAACGCATATGCATTAGAGAAGAACTAAGCTCCACTCAATCCACAACTCCAGCCACCAGCCACATACAAGCGGTACTCCCCCAGCGACAACTGAAATTATGCAATAAAACGTTTCGTGAGCGCATTCTGCAACAACTTCATTTGTGCTTTAGTGTCGTAATATACATTTTTTCACCCCCTTCGGTGCAGATTTGGGAACACTACGCGGAGTCTTCGAAACCGCAAAATTCTGCTAAAAATATCACAACAACTTTGGATAAGAAATAAGCAAAGAAAACGTACTTAAAGGAAGTGTTGTTTAAAGTCAGTCCTTGCGGGCGTTTATATGTGGTGAATTGCGTTAAAATATTTTCTTTATTCTTTTTTCATAAGGAGAAAAACCTCTGCACAAACAGAATAAATAAGCTAAATTATATGCATGCTTAGTGTACATATCACCCAAAAGTGCCGGAGTGAATTAAACCATTTTACGGAGTTTTGACTTTGTCGTAAAATCGTAGCAACAACGTCAGCAACAACGCCAGCAACAACGCAAAAAATGAAAAGGATGTTGTGTATGCAAACAACCGAACGCGACATAACAGGATGCGTGAGTATGTACCATAGATGTTTTATATAATTTTCTTCAAACACGTGTTTCCATATTTGCTCTAATTAAGTTAAATCCTTACACATAACGACCAGCAAAAACAAATGATATTATTCAAATGAAATATATATTGAATACGTCTTTCACAGAGCTTTAAAATTTATTAAAGGTTTTAGTTTTAGGTAAAAACTTAAAGAAATACGAAAATGGAATTAGAAAAATTTAATTAATAAAAATAATATAAAAATAATTTCTGTTGTTATTGCTCATTACTGTTCGAAACTTTTCTATAGTATTAATAGTATATATTTGTTCTTTGTTTATTTTAAGTGCCAAAAAATAAAAATTGTGATAATATTAATAAAAATACTTCTCGTATTAAATTAAGCTTGTGTTCATAACATTTTACATACCAATGATGTAATAACTCCTCAACATCACACTTTCATATGTAATCATTTACTATACCATTAAGTATGCATAGAAAAAAGGATATTACTTATTATGGAACATGTTAACATGCCAACGTTTGTTTCAGTCTTCTAATGATACATGTTGCAAGTGTATATGCACAGTCTAGACATCCCTTTCCGTTTTCCTCATAGAGACTTCATAGTTAATAGCAACTGTTGCCACTAGTTTCTGCACGTATCCTTTTCATTTGATGTTATATCGTAACAGATTATAAATGCTTTTGTATTTATCATTTTATTTAAGTTATTATTGTATTTTTAATATAAAATTTCTAACTCTAACTCGTATCAGTTCCAAATGAAACTTGGATCTACGTCAGATATAATAGTATATGTTTGACGATTGTACAATAGACCTACTCAAATCGCTATACTAGCTGTCCTTTAAAAATAAATATTTTGGAATGTAAAATATGGTTCTTACATAAATTAAATCTAATTATAATCAAAAACTATTTTACTTTCATAACCGGAGCACTTTGATATTAAAATTGTTTTGGCAGATGTATTCTTCTTAACGCATTCTAAATTTTAATGCCTCTAACTGTACAGGTTGGCATAGTTATTTATACTGAAAACTTGTCTTAAATAACTTTATATATAACTCACTCAAATTTACTTTGAATGTAATATGTATTTTGCATACTGCTTCATTAGCTATAAATTATATGGCCGTTTATCTAACATGTTCTATTGAGATATAATATATAATATATTTGTGCAATATTTCTGATGTACATATTGTTTAATAAACATTCACTGCCATTATATGATTGCTTTTAACATTAGTGTTGCGTAGCTCTCTATGTCGAACATATGAATTTAACTTTATATTCCCAATAAATTAGTACAACTACTGACGTTCCCTTATGAAAGGTAATTAGTTGGTCCTAAGTCAATTGGCAATAAAATTTGTTACACATTTGTTGCATGTCGTGTTCTAAGTTAGCACAGTAGTCCTTCTACCATTTCATTATATGTGTATACTTGGCCAAATAGCAATCTATTGAAATTGAGTTGGCATCTCTCGGAAAGCTCAAATAAATTTGAAACGTTAAAACCATGTACGGCATTAAAAAGAACTGAAACCAACATGAAACTCGATGCTACTGTAAGTGGCATAAATGAAAGAAATCCAATAATATGTGTGAAGATGTGGCTCACATGCAGAAATTGTTTCTCAATTAGGCCGGCTATATTGAGGCACAGATAGGAACACAAAAAGATATATGTACATTTACATTCAGAGCAGACGCTACTTGCATATTGATTTCGTGTTGCCTCTTGGAATATATATGGCATGTGAACCGAAGGAAAATACAAATGCAAGGATATGAATGAAACGATTTTTTTATTTTTATTTTGGGAAAATTTAGAAAAAATACTTAAACTTTAGTACAAAGGGTCCACAGTTGGCACATGGTTTTTGTTGATGCTATTATTTTCTATAAACGAAATTAATGAAAAAAAATTCATTCATTAAAATAAATACCAAGTTTGTCTGTTTGTTGTTTCATATGAATATAAAGAAGCTTTAAAAAATTATGGTACTTTAAATAAATTTCAGGTAATTAATTAATAAATAAAATAAATCAAAATATATTAAAAATTATAAAAAGTAAAAAAAATTTAAGTAAAATTGAATAGTTATAATTGTAATAATTTTTGAAATAAAATATAAATAAAATTAAAATAATAATAATTAAAATTAGT